GGAATTTCTCACCCAAAGTTGAACTCAGTATTCTACACTCTTGAACTTCTCGCGATAGCATTTCCTGTCTGTCAGTGAAACAGTGAGGGTTATACATCCCCGGGAAGCCCCGGGAAGTCTTTCAAGAAACAGTGAGGGTTATACATCCCCGGGAAGCACGTCTTTCAGGTGTTACCTTCTCGAGCAGGACATAATGTTGACAGTCATGCGCATTGTTACTAAGCTTTGCTCTAGGCAGACTAATCCTTTCTGTTCCCTCTCCCCTGTATGTTTGTATCAGGTGGTAAATCTGCAATACAGTGAAGTTCAGGATCGGGTCATGCTCACTGGCCGCCACATGGTTCGAGACGTGAGCTGCAAGAACTGCAACAGCAAACTGGGTTGGATCTATGAATTTGCCACTGAAGACAGCCAGCGCTACAAGGAAGGCCGTGTTATCCTGGAAAGAGCGTTGGTCCGAGAGAGTGAAGGATTTGAGGAGCATGTTCCATCTGACAATTCCTGAAGAGACTTGAGTCTCTTGGCAGGTTCTCTTCAACTGAAACTCAAAAATAATAAAATCAACAAAAAAATCTGCTTACATACACTGTCACCTTAGCATCAGAGTCGGATTCATGGACTAGAGTGGGAAAGATTGTGAGAGTATTTCAGATGGAACCTTCCTTTTGTTATTCCTTTTGTATTTTACTTTCCCTCCAGATGCTGTAACTTTTTCTCTCTTGCATTTACATCTGTTAGATTTGAGATTGTATCTACAGATACAGTGGGCTAAAAGGAAAATATTTGGGGCATTTGTCTTTTGTTAGAGAGAAATTCAGTGAGATTTTTTTAGTTTGCACAAACTGATGTCAGCATAAAGTTATTTTAAAACTACAGATGTTTTTTAAAAAGTATATTCCAATTCTTGGCTTAAGTTTTTAGTTAGTTTTGTTTTGTTTTGGTTTTTTACCCAGTCTTTTCACCTGATTTGCTAGCTAAAGTAAAGAGATCCGAATTTGTGCCGAGTGCTAAAGGTTCAGTGTTGGTACAGCTTGGGCTGGCCCTTGTGCCATATTCTTGTTGAGGTTGATTGGTAGCACAGAGCCCATTATTTCTTGTCGTTCTTGACCCAAAGACGTCACCATTCCTTGTTTATTTGTGAAGTCCCATTCACCATGTAAACTGGTGTTGATTGGAAACTATTCTTGAGATAGGGCAAAACTGCTTGGCTTTTTTTTAACTTTAACTGATGTAACTTAAAAGCATAGTAATAATATAAAATAATAGTTGTCTGTTTAGTCTTGCGTTGCTTACGAATCAGAAGCTGTGTTTGTAATGATAGGGATCCCCTGAGAAACTACTGTTTTAGTAGTATTTTTTTCGTTTCTCTACTAATCTCATTAAGTAGACAGGCAATTGCAAATCTTAATTCTTCTTCAAGTAGCTTTCTTTAAGCCCAGAACTTCCTATGTTAAACACAGCTGCTGTGTAAAAGAAGAAGATTGCCAGCATGTTTGTTCATGCCTAGAGTTATGCAATCTGCATCTCGAAAAGATTAACTTAAACAGCTTGTTTTCAAATGCTGCTTCTGGTGTTGAAACCTTTATCTTTCAACTTTGTTGAACCTTTTCATTGCGTTGTTACGTTTTTATCTTTCTGGGCAGCAGTACATGTCAGCCTAGTAGTAACTAGTGACTTGGATCCCTGCTTTCTTGTAAAGGTCAGCTCTGTTTAAACCGGTGATCTTGCTCGCCTTTTTAGCAACAATACTCTTCATTAACTTAGCTCAAGGGTGCCCAAACACTTTCATTGTGTGTCTTAAGCCATAAGTTAGGATCTCAAGGGCTGAAATTCATTTGAATGTTAGATATGTATGATTCCTTATAAAAGAGAAAAGTTTATTTTTTTTTCCCATTGGATAAATTGTCGTCCGCATGAAGTAAGTTACCCACAGATATACAAGAGGGCAAAAAGACCCCTAGCCAGCCACACAGATCTGGGCTCTGACCTTTCAGAATAACTTTTCTTCACTAGCTACAGCTCCATATCTGAAATTAAAATATGGAGGATGACTATGTGGAGTATTTTTCTTATTTTTTTTGGCTGCCAAGTGGCAATTTGGACACCCCTGACTTAAATCTACTGCCTATTTAATGCAAAAGTAGCTTTATTATAGAATTGTCACATAGAAAGAAAACAGAGTAGATCACATACCAGAGCTGTGCTTGAATCAAGCTGCTTAAACAATAGTGTACTTGTGCCTCAAATGAATCAGTTTTTGCACTGAGTACAGTAGTACCCTATTATCTTGTACTTCTGTCCTTCACAGACCCTAAAGGCCCCATTAGCATGGTTCTCTGCAGTACTTTTCTTGTACTTCTGACATTACAGTACAATAAAGTATGTTTTGTCCTGAATTGATTTTTGCTGTTCTTTTTGGGTAATTTTCATGGAGTCTGTCAAATGAATTGACATAACCTGCCTTCCCTTCCCTACATTCAGTAGATCATTGCGTTTCTACAGCACAGTGACAAGCTGTTGATGAGCATTTCTCTCTGAATGGGTGGTGTACTGTTGATTTTGGAAGGTGCTAAGTAAAGCTTCATGCATACCACTTGGACACTTGAAAGCCTTCATTTTACTCCTGTTAAAGAGAAAATAAAACCAGGAAATTGCTCATTTAGTGGAATTCTGGGTGCCCAATGTCTTTCCTTGTCTTTGAGAAGATAGCAAGCTAAGCAAAACTCCAGCTTCTGCAAGAAATGTGTTTTAGTTTTAGCTTCTGAAATGGCTTGAGAATTGAGGAATTGAGAATTTGTGTATCTGGAATTCTTTGACCTTTTTTCTTTGTATGCAAATATTAGGGACAAGCCTTCTGCTAGCAGCTGGTCAACTTCATAAGCCATAGTTAAAGAACTGAGGTGAGAGGATCATTATATTGGTGTAATGGAGCCTGAGGGACTTATTCTAACCTATATTAAGACCTTTTCATTTTGTTAGAATATTAGATTGTGAGATGTTAAAGATTACTTTCCCCAAGTCTATGATTGGCAAAGCACTATTGAGGTTAATTCCTTAAAAGCCTATGAGGCTTAAACAAGTCCACTGCAACTTTAAAACAGCAGACTTCAGATTGCTCTGTAGCCTACGTGCTGTTCCCTTCTGAATCACCTTGATGGCTCTGTGGGAGAGTTTAGCCTCATCAATTTTGACTGCTCCTCCTCAAAATGCTTTGTGTGTGAATACAGATAACTTATCTGTAGGGAACAAGAGGATTGGTTACAGGATGGCCAGCAATAGAGAAGACACCACTATTTGATTTTAACTGTTATTTTATAGTAGTGCAGTAGCCTTGGATTCCCAAACAAGGCATGGCTGGCACAGCAAAATGTGCCACTACAAGGGCTTTGTGCTGGCATGTGATGGTGTGCTTATGCTGTCTTAGGCAAAGGTCTCAAGGAAATTGCAGTGCACAACAAACTCACTGAGTGTGTATGGAGAGCTCAGAATCTGTGCTCTGAGGCTGCAGCTTGGGCTAGCAGTGGTGCTATGACTTTTGCTTAAATCACAGAATCACAGAATATTAGGGATTGGAAGGGACCTCAGAAGATCATCTAGTCCAATCCCCCTGCCGGAGCAGGAACCTAAACGAGATTACACAGGAAGGCGTCCAGGCGGGTCTTGAATGTCTCCAGAGAAGGAGACTCCACAACCTCCCTGGGCAGCCTGTTCCAGTGCTCTGTCACCCTCACCATAAAGAAGTCCCTTCTCAAGTTTAAGTGGAACCTCTTGTGTTCCAGCTTACACCCATTGCCCCTTGTCCTACCATTGGGCATCACCGAGAAGAGCCTGGCTCCATCCTCGTGACATTCACCCTTTACATATTTATAAACATTAATGAGGTCTCCCCTCAGTCTCCTCCAAGCTAAAGAGACCCAGGTCCCTCAGCCTTTCCTCATAAGGGAGATGCTCCACTCCCTTCATCATCTTGGTGGCTCTGTGCTGGACTCTCTCCAGCAGTTCCCTGTCCCAGCTCTATAACATTAGCTTTATAGAAGTTTATATTACCCCTGCTATGACCTCATCCCGTAGTTGCTGTGTAGGTGTACCCAAAACCCAAGTACTTCATTAAAGCTGCTGACTACCGTTTCAGCAAAACACCGCTGTGTTTGGGGATTGAAAAAGCATTTTAATTATGCTTTCTATGGATGTTCAAAAGAACTTTTGAAATGGTTTACTGCAGCTCATGGCTCTGTTAGAAAAGGTAGCATTATGAGGGACTCTGGGGGTGGCTATGGTCACCTGATACAGGCTTATTCTTACAGGGCAAGCTTGGCTCTCCAGATTTCTGCCAGAGTTGTAGGAAATAAAGTCAGCAGATCATCAGTGGATTAACAGGTAAGGAACTGGTGAAGCTGCAGTTCAGGATACAATTGCCAGGTATAAGGATGAGGTGACTGGAAAGGATATGGCATTGATGTAGGAGAAGGCTAGCTGGTTAATCAACCCTGGTTTAGAAGAGAAACCTAAGCTGTGATGTTGCAGTACCGTTCTGCAAAAGCCAGAAATACTGTGTTGTGTTTCCTTCCTGGGCCTGCCTTCACTTCTTTAGCAAAATAATAGTAAGTAATAATAATAAAAAAAAAATCAAGTGAAGGCTGGTTTCCTGTGGCTCTTGAGGGCTTTGTGGACTCCCTGATGCCTGACGAGGATGAAATGTTTCAGACTTTGTTTGACTGGGACATTGATTAGGATCATTTTCCAATCTGGGCCCTGTTTTCGCAGGACTTTAAAGAGCTAAGCAATTTTCAAACCGTTTACTTTATAAGCTGGAGTTAAAAGTGCCCAATAACTTAAAAAGATCATTTTGAGTGGTAAGGAAGAATATGACCTGATTGATGATGTCACTGTGTAAGCCCTTTTCTTCTTTCAGAAAATCAGAAATATGGCCAAGGAAATGAGCTCCTGTCTGTCTCATCGACAATTACGTGACAAAAGCATTCAGCAGCTTCTGATGAGCCTAACTTTCACAGAATCACAGAATGTTGGGGA